GCTATTTGGCTCTAGGTTATGTGAATATGATTTTGAAATGTTTTTGATTAACAGCATCATTCAGGAAAGTCATATCTGAAAAAAAAAAGAATTTTAATAGGTCAGAAGGACGCACAAGTGTTAGGTATTGAACAAGGGAAATAAAAAGATTCAAATGTCACAGAATCTAGATATGGAGACTTTAGAGTATACAGTGTGATCTCTGCGTAACCTGTGCCTGGAAGAATTCAATATCAAAGTCAAAACTATTTAAGTCAAAACTATTATGGGTAAATGTCTTCTCACTCCAGCATTTAGAAAACTTGAACATGAATTAAATTTTCTTTTTTTTTATCAGGCTAGTGCTTGTTATGGTACATGTCAATGGCAGGTTTTGATTACTACAAATGACCAAACATTAGAAACTTGTCTCAACTACTTCCAATATATATAACAAGTTAATAAGTTCTGTCTTTTTCCACTAATTTTTAATGTCTGGCTTCTTTTTGTCTTGCTACTGCTGAAAGGTACACATTGCTACAGTAGGTGGACAAACAGTGCATCTCCAGAAATGTAAGCTTTCTTCATAACCAGACTTCATGTAGAAGTGCCTTTCCATGAGTAGTTTCCTTTTAACCTTCCCTTTTTCCTTTAACCTTCTATAACTTTAATATATTCAGCTCTTTAAAAGTGTGTTTGAACCAAGGTGTGTGTGTGAATGTATTTATTTTACTCCACAATTTGTTTCAAATATAGTTTCCTGCCAAAAGCACAAACCAAACTTGTGTATGTCTATGCTGTAATGTTTTGAAGTAGTTTAGGAAAAGTCTGTTGATATTTATATGATTTTTGGATTGTCTGTGGGAACTTTTGTTCTAGAAATGTAGAATTAAAATGGTGGCCAATGTCAATAAGCCATCTCCTTGCTGTGGCAGGAAGCCATATCAAATATTGTCTTCAGAAATAGATCAAATTCCTACTTATAACTGATTAGAATTTTTTGTTCTCACTTCTATGTATGTGCATTCCAAACCTTTATTGCTCTGATGGTTAAAAAGTTTTATTTTCTAATAGGAACATATTATTGGTTGTTTATTCTTGTGCTTACTTTGTCAGTTAATCTCAAGTTGGGGCTTTTCTTGAAAGTAAATAACTATATGCTTTTTAGCCTTTATCATGCTGAACTAAGTGCAGCTTTTCTATTGTTGTGATCAAAGTTACATGCTAACCCGCAGCAGCTTCCATCCTGGTAGTTTTAAGTTCATATGCAAAGTGCATTGGCTTCTTTAAAGCACCCACCTCAACAACTATAGGTTGAAAATGCAATTCTTTCTTTGATTTTACTGCTATAACATAAGATTTGAAGGAGGTGTGGTAACAATCCAGAGTCATGACGGTGGAATGGGATAGGGTACCAAATCACCAGTGCATGCACATTTTGAATCAGTGTGTGGAGCAGTACAGGTTGTTTAAGAGTATACCACATATTTTTCCTGCTTCCCCTAGATTGAATATAAGCAAAAAAGGCTATGATGCAACTAGTATTTTGTATATTGATACAGGTACCATTCTTTTATCAACATACAAATATGTGTTCAGCTTCAATAAATATAAACATTTAAGTCAAATGGGCTAATCAAGAGTTTACATACCAGGGATTTTTAATTATATATGCTGGGTTTATTACCTGTAATTAGAAAGGTATGTTCATAAACAGTCTTTGGCCTCCTGTGATGCAGGAGAACTGAAATGTGTGCTGCTGCATCTTCAGGGTCAAATTATTTTCCATAGTGTAAAATAGAAATTAAATTTTTCAGCCAAGTGCAAAATTCGGCTTTTATCAAATTTTAATTAAGAATTGTTTATCTGATTTAGAAGATGATAGAAAGAAGGTATTTATTTTCCTCCACTTGCCAAAAGGTGATCGTACTTATAAAATTTGCTGAGATTGTCCAAGAAAGTGTGTAAAATCCTCATCCATCACTGAGAGCCCCTGGTCAGGGAATGACAGTGCAGTAAATATCTTCAGCAGCTGCCTTTTAATGTACAAGCTGTTTTCAGTAGGAATTTTCAGCACTCACATAAAACACACTGTCATGAGTGACTGCCTGTGCTCCAAAGTCATTACTATTGGGATGATGGAACATCTTTCAGAGAATAACAAAAACTTTAAATGTCATGTCAAGTTTGTTGAAGCCGTTTTCAAGCCTTGCTCAAGGTTACATGAATACTGAGAACACTTGTTTTAGAAAAGTTTGAGATCTATGAGAGGGACCACTCAAATGCCGGTTTAGAGAACAGTCACTTGATTGGGGAGGGTAACAAAAAAAAGAAATATGTGTATTAATACATGTCAATCAAGCAAAGCTCCTGGGTATAAAGTAAGTGCAACTGATGTTTAGAAAAAGGCAGCATGTTATGCAAAGGAAAGAAAAATTATTAAAGTGGGAAATTAATTTGAAATATATCTTGAAAAACACATTTTAAAATGTGGACAGTAAAAAAACATATGTAGGAAATGTAATTAACCAGATAAAACTTTGGAAGACACTGAGAGGTGCCAAGTACTGTTTTCTCTTTTATTCCAGTAAGAAAAGAGGATCCTTTCAGGCTCTGCCTGTGATTCTGTAGGAAATATGGATGCTAATCTAATGAAGTTATGTAAAGACTGAATCACTTCCAAGAGGTCAAGCCTACTGCTTTTGAAGTTGATAATATTTTTTGTCTTATAGAATCACAGAATAGTTAGGGTTGGAAAGGACCTTCAGATCATCGAGTTCCAACCCCTCTGCATTGGCAGGGACTCCTCACACTAAACCATATCACCAAAGGCTCTGTCCAACCTGGCCTTGAAAACCACCAGGGATGGAGTATTCACAACTTCCTTGGGCAGCCCATTCCACTGCCTCACCACCCTTACAGTAAAGAACTTCTTCCTTATATCCAATCTAAACTTCCTCTGTCTAAGTTTGAACCCATTACCCCTTGTCCTGTCACTACAGTCCCAAGTAAAAAGTCCCTCCCCAGCCTCCCTATAGGCCCCCTTCAGATACTGGAAGGCTGCTATGAGGTCTCCACACAGCCTTCTCTTCTCCCGGCTGAACAGCCCCAACTTTCTCAGCCTGTCTTCATACAGGAGGTGCTCCAGCCCCCTGATCATCCTCGTGGCCCTCCTCTGGACTTGTTCCAACAGTTCCATGTCCTTTTGATGTTGAGGACGCCAGAACTGCACACAATACTCCAGGTGAGGTCTCACGAGAGCAGAGTAGAGGGGCAGGATCACCTCCTTTGACCTGCTGGTCACGCTCCTTTTGATGCAGCCCAGGATACTGTTGGCTTTCTGGGCCGCGAGTGCCCATTGCCAGCTCATGTTCATTTTCTCATCAACCAACACTCCCAAGTCCTTCTCCTCAGGGCTGCTCTGAATCTCTTCTCTGCCCAACCTGTAGCTGTGTCTGGGATTGCTCCAACCCAGGTGTAGGACCTTGCACTTGGCATGGTTAAACTTCATGAGCCTGGCATCAGCCCACCTCACAAGTGTGTCGAGGTCCCTCTGGATGGCATTCCTTCTCTCCAGCGTATCCACTGAACCACACAGCTTGGTGTCATCGGCAAACTTGCTGAGGGCGCACTCAATCCCACTGTCCATGTCACCGACAAAGATGTTAAACAAGACCGGTCCCAACACCGATCCCTGAGGGACCCCACTCGTTACTGGTCTCCAGCCGGACATTGAGCCATTTACTGCAACTCTTTGCGTGCAGCCATCCAGCCAGTTCTTTATCCACCGAGCGGTCCATCCATCAAATTGATGTCTCTCCAATTTAGAGACAAGGATGTCGTGTGGGACAGTGTTGAACGCTTTACACAAGTCCAGGTAGATGACGTCAGCTGCTCTACCCCTGTCCATCAGTTCCATAGCCCCATCATAGAAGGCCACCAAATTGGTCAGGCAGGATTTCCCCTTAATGAAGCCATGCTGGCTGTCACCAAGCACCTTGTTGTTTTTCATGTGCCTTAGTATGCCATCCAGGAGAATCTGCTCCAAGATTTTGCCAGGCACAGAGGTGAGACTGACTGATCTGTAATTCCCTGGGTCATCCATTTTCCCCTTCTTGAAAATGGGGGTTATATTTCCCTTTTTTAGTCGTCGGGAATTTCACCTGACTGCCATGGTTTTCAAATATGATGGACAGTGGCTTAGCAACTTCATTTGCCAGCTCCTTCAAGGATCCGTGGATGGATTTCATCAAGTCCCATGGACTCGTGCATGTTCAGGTTCTTAAGATGGTCTCGAGCCAGATCCTCTCTAAGGGGCCCAAGATCTTCATTTTCATAATCCCTGCATCTGCCTTCCAAGACTTGGGTGGTTTGGTCAGAGCCTTTGCCAGTGAAGACAAAGGCAAAGAAGTCATTCAGAACCTCAGCCTTCTCCAAATCCAGGGAAGCCAGTTCTCCCGATAGCTTCCAGAGGGGGCCTGCATTGTCCCTAGCCTGTCTTTTATTTGCTACGTACCTATAGAATCCCTTCCTCTTATCTTTAACATCCCTAGCCAAATTTAATTCTAACTGGGCCCTAGCTTTCCTATCCTGGTCCCTAGCTTCCCGGACAACATCCCTGTACTCTTCCCAGACCACCTGTCCTTGCTTCCACTTATTGTAAGCCTCTTTTTTCATTTGAATTTTCCTCAGGAGCTCCTCATCCATCCAAGGAGGTCTCCTGGCCCTCCTGCTGCACTTCCTTCTGGTTGGGATGCAACACTACTGAGCTTGTAGCAGGTGATCCTTGAATATCAACAGTCTTGGGCCCTCCTTGCCCTCTACAGCTATATCCCATGGAACCTTCCTAAGCAGGTTCCTGAAGAGGCCAAAGTCTGCTCTCTTCTCTCCTTGGCTATCATTACTTCTTCTAGTATCTCATCTATGTGTAAAATTTTGTCCAGAGGTCTTTTTGTATTACAGAATACTGAAACTAAGTATTTTAATAGTGAAACAATGTTTGTTTGGGTTATCTTCTGCAGAGAACCAGAAAGGACAACTAGAGAAGTCATGTTCGCACCACAGTATCAGTTTAAACCTGACAACAAGCCCAGTCCCCAAAGAAGCTACTTGTGATGTTGTAGCAAGTTCTGCTGTGTGGAATAAGCCTGTTGGGAAAAAGGAAGCCTGTCACGGAGAAAGCAACAGAGAAAAGAAAACGGGTCATATGGGATCTGCTAAGGGAGAAGACATTCCAGAAGTAGAAGCCCTCCTGGCAAGACTGCGAGCACTATAGAATAAACATATCAAGGATTAAGTCAGAGCTTTAAACCAGGCTGTAAGATACTACATCTTCAAAGATAGATACACTCATTTTCTATTATTGACATCAAATACTTCTGATTTCCTAACTTCTCTATGGCTGAATGATCTATTTCTAAGCTGTTTGTTTGCAAGGCTGTACAAAATAATACTATAATTTTGCATAACTGCAAGATGATTTCTATGTTTTCACCTACTTAGCATACAAAAATATCAGAAGAAAACAGATCCTAAATTATTCCAAGGCACAATCCCTTTCATGGACAAGCTGTTGACCACATGTTTTGAGAGCTTCACAAAATAAGAATATCTTTTAAATATTGTTAAATCATTATGCCTGGAAATCAGGGTCAGTAAATAACAGAAAAGGTATTCTTTTATTTTCTACTCCAATTTCTATACTTAAAAGGTTTTAGCACCTAAAAAGTAGTATTATAGCATCCACTGCAGTTAGAGTAATAGGAAATATGTATCATAAATCAGCATATTCCAGTTTGAGTTCATTGGAGAGCACCAAAGGTTCTATGTGTTACTAAATAGAAATCCATGGACAGTAAACAAACAATCTATACAAATAATATACTTTATGTGTGATTAATATATCACTGCTGTTACCTTAGTTATGCATAACCTTAGTTATGCATAACCTTAGTTATGAATATTATATCAAAATAATATATATAATTTCTGTAATTGCAAGGTTTTGCAATTGTGTCAATAGTGGGAGAAAATGTCTTTACAGTTATTTACCAGTTAATATTTTATCTTTTTACAAGTAAGTTAGTATGTTTCTATAAAAGTAACATGTAATGGAAAAAGTTTTAACAATTTTTTTTTCACAAACTCATTTTCCAGTAGCCCACGAAGTCCTATTTGCTGGTACAATAGGAATTTTGCATATAATTGTATCTCTTTTATTGCCCTGTCATTGTACATCGTTATGTGTTTGCTATCGTATTTATTAATTGCACATCATAAAGAATTGCTACCTATGTTACCAAGTAGAAAGCTATTATTAGTATCTTTGCTCCATTATTTAAAGCTTCCTTATTATAAGAGTGTATCCAATATCTTTCTTCTAAATTACTCCATTTTTCTTTACAAAATGCTGAAAAATACATCTTTCAACAAGAGTCAGTTACATGAAACCAGTGTTTCAATGCTCCAGTGCTTTTTATATCCTTGTTGAAGTTGCCTTTGTACTTCCTGCACCAAACATTAATAAAGTTAATTAGAACTCAGAAACTGGGCTTTTTTATACCTACGGCATGGAGGGGTTTGCAGCCATCATGGGAATCAACCTCTTGTTTCTGCAGCTGTTGTGTCTTTATATACTCCAATTACATTTCCCACATTAACTGAAAAAAAAATAAGAGGTATTAACAGATGTCAGGGGAAGACACAGTGAAAGCCTATCAGACAGTCATTTCTTCAGCTCCCCTTGCAAACTGTGGGCGAAGCTGTCATATGGGGCCACCTTTGGTAACTTGGTATATAGTAACCATAGAACTGGGACTTAATGCACCTTTAGTGGATGACTGGAAATACAACTACTGCTAATTGTTCCACTAAAGTCTTCTTCACCTCCACTGTTAAGACTTACTATCCTTGTTTACAGGGTGCAGTAAAAATTGCTATCTTCAAAGGACAATATGTTTGACTAAATAAAATGGGGTTTCAATCACAAAGAAAACATATGTAAAAGGGAAAAATATAACCACTCACTCACTGCGTGTTGTCACTTGCTAAGCACATGCTAAAATAAAAGGGCTAGGAATAGAGACCTGTGTCTGAAATGCTGGAAGGATGACCTACCAAGTGAAGGTGGAAGTACAGACTCATTTTCCTGAACATAGTAAACTTGCTCATTTGAATTAGTGGGTAATAGTCTACAACAGAAAACTGACAGTTCAGGTCACTATTGAGTAGTTTATTAAGCAAAGAAAAGTTACAAAACCATCTACTGATATTTTCAATGAACAAAATGCTAGTAGCAGCCTAGCATCTTCTGGTTTTAAAATAAATATTTACATATAAATTTATAGATCTTAAGTTACCTTTTCTTACAGTTTGAGAAGCTTTTAGAAATGTATTCCAGGGTTTTTCATCCTTCTAAGATATTGTATTTCTGAATTAATCGTTTCAAGCAGACATCAAGTTAATTCACAGTTTCTTTTGTGTAACTAGGAGAGTAGAAAAAGCTATACAACTTCTTAGACTCCATGTATATACAGTATGTAATTCTCCCTTCTCTCCTCAGTATTTCTTTGTACATCATAATTTGATGTATTTGGAGTTAAAGTATACAGTCCAGTTGAAGTACACAGTAAGTTTTCTTTATGCATTTCATCTTTCTTTATCTTCCTTTAGAAGCAAACACACATGCCATTTTTTATAGGAAAAAAATGCTTGTATTTCCTAAGGAGTTTAAGTAAAAATAACTTGGAAAATATTATGTATGTATTCTATTTCTGTGCTTTTATGGTTTTATAAAAGTATAAAACTCAGCTTCTGAATTATATGGAGTAAATTGCTTTAGTTATATTTTAAAATTAATAAATTTATTCAATTTAAAATTTAAAATTAAATAAATCTAAAAATAGTTATGGAAGAGCTTTAGTGGTGTGTGCTAGTTATTTTAGGAAGACATTTTTTAGTCATTCATTCCTTGAACAGAGGGATTGATCTATACACCACTTATGTTAGATATTGAAGGTTTCACATACTGTGCAAACCCTTCTCTTTCTGTAATTCACACCTGAAACTAAATCCTTATAAAAAGAGTTTCCTGATTTCTTCAAACATGACTCCTCAGATAAAAGCTGTCCTGCATTCAGCATTTGAAGTAATCTTGCAAAGTACATTCCACTGCTCCTTCTCTACATGAGCAGCAGACAGAAGGCACAAACACCCATGGCTTTTCTCACCAGTAAAACTGTAAAAGTCTAATGCATCTCTTTGATTTTTCACATTTATTTTGGATGACTTTTCATTTTACTCAGTAAAAGAATTTTGATGACTACATCAATTTTTACTTTATGTATACACCAGATTATTTATGGCAGTGGTCTAAATTCATATATAATACTCAAATGTTTTGGCCTTCTCAAGATATGAATGTCTGTGATCAGTCTCTTCAAGCTGAAGGCAGCCAAGCTTGACACCTGGCTTATGGACCGTGGGTAATATACTAGTTTGTGTAAGCTCAGAAGTAAAAATTATGGTAGCAACTTTTTATTACAGAATAGTACAGCAGTATCAGGAGGTGGTGGATGCCATGAGATGTGACAGAGCTCTGCATCGGACCCTGTGTTAAAGGAACATGGGCCAGCAACCTGAAAAGATGTAGTTGGTTTTGCTTCCCAATTAATTATGGCAACGTTCCTGCTTAGGGGACTGGAAAGACCACGTGTGGGGGAAAAAAGGTCTCAGCTGCAGTTGTTATAAACTGCTTCCCTCCAACAGTTTTCCTTGTTTCACTTCATGTGACCAATCCTCAGCCTGGCCCATCCAAAGGCACACTTTCCAGAACTGAACAAGTTAATGCTGAGCAGCTTGAGGTACTGCAGCCCTTCAGGCTTTTATAATAAAAGCTGAAAAAGAGGACATTTACTGCTAACACTTTTTCCACATCCATTTCTAACAAACAGGACCAAATTATAATTTTTACACTAATCTTTCCAAGCCTTACAGTGCTCAGTAACTCAAAACAAATGGGCAACAAGCAGGGGTCGATAAACCCTATGCTGTGGCACCTAAAACTTTATAATAAGCAGCCAGGGTCAAGTGAAAGAGCTCAGGAAAAAAGCAATTACATGACAACATTGTTTTCTCCAGAACAAAATAAAGCATTGCTATACCATTTTCTATTTCTTTTTAATGTGATGTGTGGGTTTTACACAACTGAACTGCAGCAGAAAAATAAGTTAGAAGTTTGAGGAAATGTTTCTCTATTCTATGAAATAAAAAGAATTAGATGAATTGCCGATTTTATTAATTTTCAGTCTAATCTTATGGCAACATTTGTATATGTCAGTAATTCTAAAATTATAATCTATTAAATTAACTGTGCCACCAACTAATAAATTTGATTTGAATTTTCTTGGCACATGAAGCAAGCACACTTTCTTGCTTTCCAAATACACTTCCTACATTGCACTGTTGTATGTTTTACATGAAGTATATGATTAAGATGAGGGCTGTACATCTCACTATAAAACCATGCTCATAAAGCATTCTGGTCACTGACATCAGAGAAGAATAAACAAGAGATGGTTCAGACATACTTTTTCCTCACTCCAAGCAGCAGAGATAGCCATTAAGTTTCATATGTTAGCTGGGCACATTTAAAACCCCTCTAATTTTATTTCAGTAATGCAGCTTTTCCTTTTTATGATCCATGCACTGGCATGCACTGTAGAATTATTAAGGGAAATATTTTCCAGCAGCATTTCGAAAATACACTGAGCAGATGCCTTGCATGTAACATCAGTCCTATATATCGTAGGAGGCAAACACTTGAATGCCATCCAAACAGAGGCAGATAAGGCATTTCACTCCACTGAAGGAAAAGAGTTCCTTTCATCTAAATGAGCTTATTCCACTGCTGATACCAGAATCGTATGCATTTTGAGAGGGTACTATACCCCTATTTTTAAATCTGTGTTGTATTAGACAGAAAAATAAACTATGGAAAGATAGAAGTGTAGAGACTGGGAAGCAGAGTTGATTAATGTGCTGCCTGATTTTACTTCTGGGACCTGAAATTGCATCTAGTGCAAAATGAAGCAACAGGGGAAAAAAACAGTCTCATCTGACATCTTTAAAGGTCATGAAGGAAACGATGGTGGGTGATCCAGAGTTGGTATGGCCACAGGTGTCTTGTGTTTTGAAGACATATATCAGAATATCCTCAGAATAGCAATGCTGTTGGACTGTTAGTTCTCGAAGCCCTCAAATGAATAAGAAGGAAAAGTCTGACAAAGATAAATATGAGGCCTCATAAAACCTAAGACTCTTTTTGTCTTAAATCCAAGCATCAGTCCTGCTCCTTCTATTCACACTAATAGCTAAAGGAAGGGCACGAGGACAGACAGTCAGCATAATGGCCATACATCTCTATACTGCCATGCCAGACAATACTGCTCTGGTATCTACCACGGGTGATACACAGAAGGTAGCACAGGTGACACCCTGCCCTCCTGGTCTTTCAGACTGTGGAGAAAGCCACAAGGGCAATGGCCAGGAAATGTGAGCTCAAATAATGGGATCGCAATAAAAACCCCACAATTCCACAGCCACATGTCAAGTAGAATCAAGTAGAATAACTGTCTTCTAAAATGTTCAGGTGTCAAAATGGCAGCAGAATGTGTGCATACTTCTGATGTTTCCTAAAGACAGCCATTACATCAACTCTTCAAGCCTGATGAATATGCACAAGCTACACATTCAGAAGCAGCTTTAATTCTCAGTTATTTAGGCTTCTTTGTTATATATAGTTCAACCTCTAATTGAAATTTTCAGTCCAAAGCAAGCCATATAAACTTTGCAGTCTGTAACTGTTAGTAAAAAAAACCAGCTTTTGTAATAGCTCTGCTTAATTTGTTGCATTTTAATGTGAAGGTTGTTGCACGTAGCTGAAAATATGCAGTACAACAAGACTCCTTCTATTAAGGAAGACAGAAATGGCAATTATGCAGTCTGACGATTGGATTTTTTACTAATGAAGAGTACTTTCTGCTAATGAATAGGATAGCAGAGCAGTGCAGTGAAACAAGTCACCTTGATAGTACAATGCAAGACCCATCAATTTCACACACACAACTTCTTTAGTAATGAATCTTGGAGTACAACCCATCAGTGTTGCTCCTGAAAGACAACCACCGAGGCAGAGAAACCACAAAGAGTGGTTTGAAATGAAAAATTGAATGAGAACTTTCCACCACTTTAAAAGTGGAATTGATTATGATGAATTTATCTCCAAGGTGCCTGGGCACTGCATTAAAAATGCTTAGACAGAAAAAAATATGATCCCTCTGTGCAGTTGGTGGCACCTTTCCATTTCATGCAGCAGCATCATGGTCAGATAACTGGAATACTATCTTCCTATCTATCCTTGAATCCACTGACATTGTGGAGAATCAGAGGGAATTGTAACTATAGTATTAAAAGAATTCTTTTCACTTCAGGAGTAACAGGTTCCAACCTGTAAACCCACGCTGCAGATTATCTGCTTAAGCCTCAGG